AAAACATCTTTTAATCGCGCTGTAAATACATACATAGTAGAAATAATATAATTTCTAAATTCTCCTCCCAGTCACCCATTAAGTTTACAACAACAGCAATAATAAAATAAATACACAAATACACATAGAGCCAGCCGTACTTACAATCAAACGACCTAAAATAAATAAATAAACGTAAATAAATAAATGATAGCAGCATTAGGCGTGTTCATGTAGCACAAAAAAAAAATAGGGAAAAAATGCCAAAGTTCTTAAAATAATCTGGTAAAGTACTACACGAAATATCCCGAAGCCCCGAAATAATCCTAAAAAAACATGAGAAAATTTTGTAAAGATTCGACAATCTCGAAGCATTTAATTATGTGTATTGTCGAATGTCCCAAAAAAAAGAAATCTTGCCGATTACTCCTTTTTCCTTAACCGTTGAGTGCTTAGAAATCTTCTGCAACACACCTTACGTACTTGATTGTGTGCACTTTTGGGCTTCGTTCTCTACTCAAAGCGACATCTACTGGAAATTGCAAACGAAAGTTTCACATTTAGTGAACAACCTCATCGTAAATTGCAAAGATAGCGGCGTCTATTATTATTATATACTCGTATAAAATGTAGCAAATTAGAGCATAGACGGTCAGTTTCTACTGCGCTTTGCTTCTAATTAAATCAGTGACTCCTGCAAAGTTATTTCGCTGCATTCAATATGTTTCTTCTGCTATTAATTGCCGCTTGTACGCTCGCATTTTTCTACATCAAATGGAATTACACATACTGGCAACGCAAGGGCTTCCCTTATTACGAGCCCAAAATCCCGTTTGCTGTACTCGACAAAGTTTTTAAGCGCGAAGCTTCCTTAGGCATTGCTGTCTACGATGTCTATCGCACTACCAAGGACAAAGTGCTCGGCATTTACCTTATGACACGTCCTGCCTTGCTTGTGCGCGATGCTCAGCTGGTGAAGAATATATTAGTAAGGGATTTTGACAGCTTTCACGATCGCGGTGTGCATGTGGACGATGAAAAGGATCCACAATCAAGTGGTGGTCTTTTCTTTTTGAAAGGGCAGGATTGGAAAAGCTTACGCGTCACAATGACTCCTTTATTCACATCGGGCAAATTGAAGGCGATGTTTGGTACGGTGGAAGATGTTGGTGATAAAATGGTAAACTATTTAAATGGACAACTGCCGGACGAGGGTGCTAAGGAAGTGGAATTGAAGAAACTAATGAGCACGTGAGTGTCTAATTTTCAATTTTATTCGAAATATTTTTGCATTTTTGATTTCATTCCCACTGTGACGAGTGAAAAGGACTTACAAAATTTTAAATTCCTTTAAATTTTTAGCTATGCCATAGACATAATCGCCTCAGTGTTTTTTGGGCTGGAAGTAAACAGCTTTGTGGAGCCAAATAATGTTATGCTGAATGTTAGCCGCAAAATCAATGAACCCACATTTGGAAGTGTGGTGCGGGGAACTTGCCAATTTTTATATCCTGGGTGAGTTAAAAATCAGTGGTTAATAGCAGCAATAAAAAGTATACGAGAAAGTAAATTATTATTTTTAAAATTATATCTTTTTCACTTATCAATCGAGTAGCACTTAGGGTTAGTCAGGTTATCTGATGAATATATGTGCATATGTACACAGGGCCGGATTTACTTAAAATGTGAAAAATGCCGCCCTTTTATCTTTAACCTACCTAGAATTAGGTCCCATCTTTTTTTCAGAGCAATACACGTGGAAGTGCACATCATTCATGAGTTCTTCCACATTTGAATAAATAAATTTTCAAATTATAAATTTTCATTTGTTTATTTTGAATTATTTGCATTTGAATTATTTCGAGAGAGTAAACTCAAAATGCTAGCAAACGTCAAAAAAAAACCCAATGGCGGACGATTTTGAGCGAGCGGTTTTACCTTTAAATATTTGTATCATGATTTTAAGTTTTCGTATAGAATTTCGNTGAATAAATAAATTTTCAAATTATAAATTTTCATTTGTTTATTTTGAATTATTTGCATTTGAATTATTTCGAGAGAGTAAACTCAAAATGCTAGCAAACGAAAAAAAAAAACCCAATGGCGGACGATTTTGAGCGAGCGGTTTTACCTTTAAATATTTGTATCATGATTTTAAGTTTTCGTATAGAGTTTCTAAACAAAAATTAAAATTTTCAATTCATATTGTTTTCGTATTCGTATTTTCGAATTCGACCCATTATCAAAAATATGAGTAAAATTTAGAAGGCTTTAGATATTTCACATTACATAAATAAATATGCACTTATCTGAATTTATATTTCAAAATTTGCCGCCCTGTGCCAGGGNGAAACAAAAATTAAAATTTTCAATTCATATTGTTTTCGTATTCGTATTTTCGAATTCGACCCATTATCAAAAATATGAGTAAAATTTAGAAGGCTTTAGATATTTCACATTACATAAATAAATATGCACTTATCTGAATTTATATTTCAAAATTTGCCGCCCTGTGCCAGGGCACCGAGAGCACCTAGTGTAAATCCAGGGCTGCATATACATACATATGTATGTGTGTATTTATGTTTATGCGGATGGTCGAAATTTCAGCTGCGATATCTTTAAACTGGGTAATTGTTTTTTTTTTCGAGTTTGCGGAAAAAGGCACTAACCTAAATGAACTAAAAAAATTTTAAGTTCTCGTTGCCATTCAGATATAAGTGGAATTCTAATCAATTTATTGCAATTGTATATCAATCTATTATAATCTAATGAGTTCTATTTACAAATGTGTGCATGTATTATTATCGCAAAAAGATTTTCAAATCTACCGGCCATTCGCTATTGATAAGACATTTTTTATCGCAGATAAATTTAAAAGATAAGCGTTACTTTATTACATAAGTACACATTGATGTTTACTCCATAGCTTGGAGAAGCTGTTCATACGTTTCGGCTGGCGTGAGGAGGCACCGAATATGATGAGGGAGATCGTACAACGCACCATACAAATGCGCGAAGAGCAAAATATCTCACGCAAAGATATGCTCCAGCTGCTAATGCAACTGCGCAACAAAGGGCAAATTAACGATGACGACAATGACTGGTCCGCAAAAGCTGGAAAGGGTGTGTATTTCAAGCATACTGAATAATTTAATAATTTCATAACTTTTCCTTTTCACTCATTACACTTGAATGGCACATCAGATGGGCCAAAGCACATGTCCATCGAAATCATTGCCTCCAATTTGTTCCTCTTTTATGTGGCGGGTTATGAGACAACCGCTTCCACTGTTGCCTTTACCGCCTTTGAGCTGGCGCAATATCCAGAAGTGTTGGAAAAGGCACAGCGCGATGTTAGAGAGGTGTTGGAAAAACATGGCAATAAGTTCTCATATGACGCGATACAGGATATGAAATACTTGGATTTGTGCATAATGGGTTAGTTGAAAGTGTAGCTTTCTTTATATGCTTTTATTAACTGTTTATTGTGTTTTTTTTTCACAGAAACCACACGCAAGTACCCAGCTTTGCCAATTCTCAATCGACAGTGCACCCAGGACTATCCAATTCCAAATAGCGATCTGGTGATCAAAAAGGGTACACCCATTATTATTCCGTTATTGGGATTGCATCGCGATGCACAATATTTCCCTGACCCTATGCGTTGGGATCCTGAGCGATTCGAGAAAAAAGAATACGATGCCACTGCATTTATGCCATTTGGCGAAGGCCCAAGGCATTGTATTGGTAATTGATGCACTTCAAAATGTTATTTGAAACCAGCAAAAGTAATTATGTATGTACATATTTTTGTCTTATCCACAGCACAACGCATGGGCAGAGTAAACGCCAAAGTTGCCTTAGCGAAGCTTCTGCTCAATTTCAATATCGAATTAAATCCAGTTCGTAAAGAGATAGAAATTGCTAACTTCGGCATACCCATCCAGGCCAAAGGTGGCGTAAATGTGCGTCTATCGAAACGGAAAGCATCGCAGGTCGCATAACTTAAACTTTTTAAGATACATAGATATGTAGATATGTTCCTTAAAGCAACTGTTTTTTCTTTTACTTAAACAAATAAATATAAGTATGTGAATCTTTGTAAGATACTTTACAGGTGGCATTATCACTTGGAAAGCGAATGAATTTGGCGCAGCGAAAGGTTTTGCGAAGCGAACTAAGAGGCAGAAAAAGCATTAAGAATGCTCTAGCGGCAAGTGCCAAGTTGTTGTTTTTGTTGTTGTAGCGGCTACAACAACCCCGCCCAGATCGGTAGATATCTCAGTCGTTGTCGTCGAGCTCCACTAATGGCAGCCCCAAGAAGCGTCCAGCCTCTATGGGGTCGGTCCACAGGGACGACGCCGTTAGGATTGTAGGGTTTTCCGGGCATGTGAAGAGATGTTTCGAGTCGTGAGGGGTCTCTCCGCATGCCGGACATTCATTCGGCACATCCGCGTTTAGCCTACCCAGGTAAGAGTGTAGCCTGCTGCAGTAGCCAGAGCGAAGTTGGGCTATTGTTGTTCTAGTCTACCGAGGCAGATGGAGCTCTGTCGCGTCAATGTCCGGTGTTTGTATGCCTCGAACGGCATTCACAGGTCTTTAGTCTACATAACTCGAGACTGAATCCCTGAGAGGGCTAGACACTTTGCAGTGAAGAAGCGAGAAAGATCGGAGAGATATCCGTTTACTTTCGAACACAGGTCATCAATTCCATTCCCAGTCGCCATGGTCGAGCAATCGTCGGCGTAGGAGACAATCGAGACTCCCTCTGGTGGTTGAGGCAGCTTTGAAATGTAAAAGTTAAACTGTAGCGGGGAAAGGACACCTCCCTGTGGAACCCCCTGTTTTATTTTTCTCTGTTTACTCGTTTTGTCTCTAAACATTACCGACGAGTGTCGACCACTAAGGTAATTTGCCGACCACCGTTTGAGCCTCTGTGGGAGAGAGGAAGCCTATATATCTTCTAGTAGCGTGGAATGGCTGACAGTGTAGCCGTTGGTGGTGCTGTGCATTTTCCAGAATCTGACGCTCGTCTGGTTTTAGACGCTTTGTCAAACTGGGAAGGGGGAGTGCTTATGCAACGACAAGCTTTTATTCAACTGCCGTCATATATAGACTTAATCCAGTTATGCTCAATGACCTATAGATATGTCACCTACACATGAGTTTATATGACGAGTTACGTTTTTCCATGATCGACGTTTTTTCCTTTGGTTTCGTATAAACGACATATTTTTCGATTGTGTTATGCATGACTAAATTCCCAGCCAGCAAAATATTCGGAAACGTATCCGAAAATGTAAACAATTTCGTATAAAAACCTGATGTTTCATCCGTTTTCCGATTCCGTTTTCGGACGTTTTTCAGATCAATTCTCCCACTAAAGTGTTCATCCGAAACATATGTGCGGAAAACTATCGGAAATGGTTGTAAAACGGATGCGCTTTCGGCTACTTTCCTGGAATTTGTCTGATACAATTTTTCGTTGAAAACGATTTCATTATGAACTTCACAGAAACTTTTTCATATTTACAGGAAACCAAACAAAAAACAAATTTAAGATTCAGCAGTTATGTATTTCAATTTGAATAACTAATTTTAATGTGTTGCTTCTGAAGGAATTCGAACCTGGGATCTCTTAAAAGCTAACAAATAGTAGCACACTTCTCTGTACACTCAGCTACTGGCGAATATGTATACATGTTTTCAAATGCTCAGTTTGAACATATATTTTAAAATTATTATTTTGAAATAAGATGACATTTTTCGGATACGAAAAATGTACGAAAACTGCACTTTCGGCAAAAAGTACGTTTCTCTGCTGGCTGGGTTATTTTTGAGTTGTAATAATATTTTTGCCTTTGTGAAAAAGTTTGTGTCCTACATGTAGGACATTGGGCATATAATATACATACTATAAATTTCTTACAGAGGATTTTCTTTGCATGCAAGTTTGGCTCTTCTAGAGGTTGATAATATAGATTTCGATAGCATTGCATTATGTCTAGCAATAAATGCACCTGCATACATTATTTATTTATTTATTACCGACGAGGTTTCTGGAAACGAGGATTACGTCGATATAAATAATTATCCGGTTACGCAAATGAAGAGCAGCGTTGGAGTCTTTACCAAAACCGATTTTGATGATCAATGGGATTTCAGTAACGACATACCGTTGTCAGTCAGTTGGACGACATCAGTGTAAATCCCATAAGTTTCAATAAGCGATAGGTACTCCCAAAAAGAAAAATTATATATATATTTTTAAAAGTCGCTTCGTAAAAGATTATAAAAAGGCCATGGGAGGTATCGATCGTTCATACCAAAATATTAGTTTTTTTCACTCATTGTGCGGAAATGGCTGTAAGAAATGCCTGTCAGATTCCTAAACATAATGGTAGAATTATGGATACCTTATCTTTTTCTTTTGTCGAACAAAGTTTATAGTATGTCATGTGCCCAATGTCCTATATATAGGAAAGCTTCAAAATACATGTTTCAATTTTTTTTTTTATCATTACCACACCCCGTCTTTTTATAATAAGTTTAGATGAATATAATCGCAGTTCTTTATAGGCGGCATAGGCAGGGTACAGGGTCTAGAGAAAGGAGAGGACTTTGGTTTCTTCAGGTTACGGACTTACTGGCAGCGTTTAGCCTCAATAGGTTTAAGTTTTAGTTTCCCGGAAGAAACTATTTAAGAATAAGCATAGTTATCGTTCTAAATANAAGTTTAGATGAATATAATCGCAGTTCTTTATAGGCGGCATAGGCAGGGTCCAGGGTCTAGAGAAAGGAGAGGACTTTGGTTTCTTCAGGTTACGGACTTACTGGCAGCGTTTAGCCTCAATAGGTTTAAGTTTTAGTATCCCGGAAGAAACTATTTAAGAATAAGCATAGTTATCGTTCTAAATCAAATAAGAATATACATATGTAGGTAAATAAATCGATGATCTACACCGCTGTTAATTCGGATTCATACTTACAAATTGTTAGTGTATTAGATAGAAATGGCAAAATGAAATTAAGAGATGTATATATTGTTATGTTTCCATAATCTTTTGGACATTTGCTTTCCTAATTAACCATGATTCAATTATTAAAGGTTTTGTAAGTAGCTATTTTCTAAAAT